AGGACTCCACTGTCCTCTCTGCAGAGCATTTACCACTGCAGGGTGCGTAGGAAAGCTGCCTCCATCCTCAAAGATCCCACCCACACCCAGCACGGACTGTTCACCTTCCTACCCTCTGGCCGGAGGTTCAGAAGTGTGAAATGCATGATTCTAAACTGAAAAACTCTTTCTTTCCCTCTGCCATCAGACTCCTAAACAGCTGAGGAGTTTATTACCAGGAAATATGTCATGTTAATGACGACCTGTACTGTTTACATTCTCAGTTTGCACATGCATTATTGCACAATGACTGTTGACTGCTGCACATGCTGCTCCCATGCAGCATACATTCTGTTATATTCTTGTATATTTTTTTTTCTACGATATTGCTGCATCTGTGCTGCTTAAAGTGCCTTAGATTTTGTGTTATTTATTTATCTACTTTATATTTCATTTGTATTTTGTGGCATTCATGTGGACGGCAAAGTAAGAATTTCATTGTACAGGGAAACACGTTTCCTAACTGTGCATATGACAAATAAACACTTTGACCTCGAACCCTTCAAGTTGCCCATGATGGTGGCGCATATGCACGCAGTGGCCCGAGGCCCCTCGGCTCCAGACAAAATTTTGTTGTATGTGTCACAATGAAAATAAAGCTTCTTCTTCTTAACATCTGTGTTTGTGAAGCTCAAAGTGTTTCAGTTTTTGTTGAAATTGTCATAAATGTGTACATTCAATTATATGTTTATTACTGAGGTCATAGTTTAAGGTGACCTCATTAAATGTAGTCCAGTTTGTACTGGGCTACATCTTAGACACATCTTCATGTCTTATCTTATGTAAACCTGTAGTTTACATACATTAGGTACTGTACAGTTTCATCCTTACTGAGATTTCTCTTCACATCCCCCAGATGTGACCCAGACAGCGGCCATGACAGTGGGGGAGAGGACAGTCAAGACTTGCCTCCCTTCTGCTTCCTCACCATTGGCATGGGCAAGATCCTTCTTCCTCAAGGACATGGTTACAGTCATAGCCAGAAGGACAGCCAAAGCCAGGGAGGCGTGCACTCACACAGCAGCAGTCATAGTAACCTGCCTCACCCTCAAACTGCTCCTCTGCCACCCCGATTGGGAGTGTGTCTGGACTGTGACAAAGGACGAATCACCTTCTATGATGCCCATGCATTGCGTATCTTGTGGGAGGGACATGTGGATTGTTCAGCTCCGGTGTGCCCAGCCTTCTGCTTCATTGGCGGAGGAGCCCTGCAGCTGCAGGACCTTGTGGCCAATCGGAGGATCGAGGAGCCGCCACCGCGAGGGTAACCATCCAAACATGTGCTACAAATCTCAATAAATAAATTGTGGTGAAACAATAGTTTAACAGCACAGTTCACTCAATGATCTGGGTTTAGTGGTTTGTATTCATCACCTATTGTGAGTTGATAATGAATTGCCTCCATCTTGTCAGAATTTAATTGGATTTTTTCTTTCAGTGTGAACTTTGAGATCTGACTATAAATATGTTATGTTCTTTTGCATTTGAACTTGGCCCGAAAAGATCATATCTTTTTTTTGACTTTGTCGTTCTCCAGTGAAGCGATTTCAGACTATGCAGAATTCTGTTGACAGGGTGAGTCAAACACCTAGAAAACCACTTAACAAGATCTGTTTGCAATGTAAGAAAATTTGCCTCCTTTTACATGTGTCTTAATTTATCTCAGATTGATTGGACAGTAAAGGTTGCATGCAAGTATATCTAGGATTCATAACTTACAAATATGCAGATAACTGACTGTCACCTTGTAAAAGCACCTCAGATGTACTGTATGTCTGATTTTCTATCCTAATTTTTTGTAGCCTCTACAACTGTTAACAATGTCTGTGTAATGCAGAATTAGAGAATGTGAATATTGTTTGTTTGCTGAACTGTAAAGTTCTACGGGCTCATGTCAAGATCACGTCTCAATGTGTAAAAAGTCCCAGCTGGTATTTTATAAAGATGCTGTTTTGCATTTTAAAAGGACTTGTGTGGAAAGTGCTCACAGTTGCATCAGTGTTTTGAAATTGCAAGAGAAATCACAGTAAAAAGCTTCAGAGGAATTTTGTTCTCGTCATAGTTAACTTATACATGTGAATACATTTCCGTGTTTTACATTGTAATTCAGGTTAAAAATGTTGATGGCCTACTTGTCCATTGTTAAACTGTGATGTTTGAGTGATTTGCACATACACAATAATGATCAGTTAGAGGAAGTGGATGGATGACATCCAGCTGATGTAGGTGTATTTTATGAGCTTTAGTTGACTTTTTTTTTGTTTTGTTTTTTATTTTTCTTACTGTAGCTGACAGCAGCTCATTTACTTACTGACTATGCTGTTTCACAGTTATATTTGGGGAATGTAAGAGCCCTGATATGTACCACTTCAAAGCAGGAGATTGTTTATATTGTGATATTTTCAAATGGACTGGCTCTGACTGTATTTTGATATATAATATGATTTTATGAAGTGGCTGTGACTTTAAAGCTATCTGTTGTGTGTATGTGTGTATCCTGTCTTTACTGACTTGTCTGGACTCCTCTGCTTCTGTTACAGCGCAGCACTTCAGGCAGTAGCGTATCAGAAATCAGAATCTCCTAATGTAGACTTTACCTTGCTGGCAGAATGTTTCTATCATGTCATGAGAAAAACAATAAATGACTGCTAACTGTAAACCAAAGTCACTTTGTTGCAAATAATGAACCCATTTAACTATACAATTTTTGCTTTTTTACAGCAGTAAATGCTGTAATGTTGCCTATTTTAAGGCAGACACCTTTTCTTTAGTGCACCTCTTCCTAGTTTCTAGTCTTGAAATTCACAGACTGAGACAGAACATCAGTTGCCTGTTACCGCCCTACAGTCAAAATGTACACGTTGTTAGACACATGTGACTGTCAATTTGATTGTCACATGCAGAACCAGAACACATCTCACAACACCTGATACAGAACTACTGCAACAGGGAGAAGTGGGCTTAGAGCTCAACATATACCGTATGTGAACAGAAAACAAATACAGTAGGGGAATCTTAGTACGTGAGCCACACTGACTGTATTACCAAGCTAGTATAGCGCTCCACAAAGGTAAAATGGTTATGTAGAGATATTTTGTTAACACCTGAGTGGTTGTGCATTTGTCATACTTTTTACATGAACAGAGATCTGTTGCAGTCGAACCAGGACTGGAACACTAAGAACAGTACAACCTGTCTGCTGCAGGAGTTGGCAGTGTTACAACCTCACCATTAGGGGGCGACATTGTTTGTGTCTTGTTTTTTTCCTTTGTCTTCCATCCATCCATCCATTATCTATACGGCTTAGTCCCCCATTATCTATACTGCTTATCCTAACAAGGGTCACGGGGTCACTGGAGCCAATCTCAGCTGACATTGGGCGAGAGGCGGGGTACACCCTGGACAGGTCGCCAGTCTATCACAGGGCTGCCCTTTCTCTTCTGTTTAAAAAAATAAAAATAAAATAGTCAGCAGCAGGTGCACAATGCATAAACACTGACCTGTGATTACATGTCAGGTATTGCAAATTAATAGCTTTTAGCTTTTGTTTGTTTCCCCCAAGCCAATATTTGTGCTAGTCAATGCATTACACCTGGAAGGGTTCAGGTTTTCCTAACTTTTTATTTGTAAGTGATAATTCACAGGTTACAAATCAACATTACTGAAAATATACATATGGTGCAATAAGACTGACTAACTTTGCACCAGCAGGTTTCTGGAGAGTGTCACATACTAATTAGCAACATGTTTACACCACAGAGTGATACTGAAAACAGGGATACAACAAACAGAGAAGGAAAACCTCCAGTAGAACAAACTTAGAATATCTCTATTAACACTACATTGATAACCACTGTTAATTTTAACAATGTAAAATATTAGTGGAGTATGCGCTACTGAAAATGTATTTTACTAAAGTGTGTTCTCTCTCTGGTTACAAGTTCGCGTCCACAGGGCTCTGGTTGCATCACCTTAGTTACAACTCTGTTTAGTTTACACATGTTTACCTGGCATAACTCCTCCCCACAAAGGTTAAGCCAGTGTTTGTCTGTGAGTTTGCACGCGAGCACATGGGTGGGAAATTCATCAAAATTTCCAACTGAACTTTGTGGCGTTATTTAATGGATTAGACGATCAACTGTCTGATGATGAAAAAGACAGACAGAGGGTAAACAAAAACCTAGAGTATATGCCAATAACAGAAAAAACCTTGAAGTTTTAGAGTTCCTGATGAGCAGCCTACAGATGATATTATTGTTTCTCTTCTCATGTATCTAAAGACAAACATTAACATGTAATTTCTAAGTTGGTTGTCACTGGCCCTAAACTGTCTGTTTAGAGTCTGTCTAGTGGTGTTAAACTTATAAAAATGCTGAGCACCATGCAGAATAAGTTCCACATGCAATGAGGCATAGCAAACCTTCTAATTTGCATACAGTGCAGGAAGCTGCAGAAATGTTTGCTAATGCAAGCACATGCTCCGAGTCCCCTGAACAGCTGTGTCTCCTGTTTTTTCTCAGCACCTCTGCACATCGCAATGTATGTTCTGCAGAGATACACGGACACACACTCTCCCCCCAACATAACAGCCACAGAGTCACTCTACAAGTTCCAACTGTGGTCTTCACTTATTCCAAAATAAAATAAAAAGCTTATAAAACTGCCAAACGCCTTGGCTCTCTGCCAGTGGCTTAAGTATGTGCTGTATCACCAAAACCATTTTGGTGTGTCACTGTACCGAAACCTATACACACCCACTCAGTCAAATCCAGATCCAGTTTACACGGTTGCCATTCAAAAACACTTACAAATCCACCTTTCTAAACACACACACACCCACGCACAAACTTGCCACATGTGTGTCCTGGATGGATGCCAAAGTCAGCAAGCGTGCTCAGACAGGACCAAAGCCCCTCGGGCTCCTGAGTATTTATGTGTGAGTGTCATTTTTAGACTGGAAAAACATTAGCTCTCCATACATACCATATTCTGCATAGTGATAACCAATTTTGTCACTGCAGTATTATGCATTAGAACATAATTATTGAACATGAATGACAATTAAAAGTTTGTGAAATTAATGCCAATATGTTTATTTCACTTCTGAAAGCAGAAAAACACAGTAGTAGATGAACCTCACTGATATGCCTTGAAATAATGCTTGACACATGTAATGCTGCTGTGCTGTGGGGTCCACTGGTGTCAAGCACAGTTATTGAATCTCTGATGTGTTTGGCTTGTAAAACAGGATATATGACAACTTATTTATATCTATGGTGAAATGTGTATGTTCGTCCAATCTGACATTGTTATTGTCCATAGGTAGTTCTCTTACAGTTTAATGACGAACTGCCCACATATCACTTCACTCACTGCTCCCATGTTGAAGGGTGGCAGAGGCAGGGGGTGAATTTGGAAGACAGGACACAGAGAACCACACTCAAACCCTTGGGACACACCAGAGGTTCTGCCTGCATGGAGCAAAGGTCTTTCAGCACCAACTGGCACCAATATAAAGAGCTGAAGAGTCACATTTTTGCAGGTGTCATTGTGTTTGCATGAGAAAATCTAAGGTGGTCTTTGTACAATTGAATTGCTGTGCAAGCTAGGACCTGAGGAGAAACGTGCTGATTATAAAAACAAAACAAAGCAGGAGAAACTGGTGCAACTGGGAAATTCACTGGCTGCTCCCTGCACACGGTTTGCCAAAAATATTCATAGCACCAACTGGATTTACAGCACAAACACGAGAGTGCATGCCACCAATGACAGAACGCCTCAGCATAAATGTTAATTTAGTGACTCTTATATGCCGTGCTGTCAGTGAGTGAAATCTCCTGCATATCAAACATGTTAGATGAGAAAGGTTGTGTGCTCCTCTGTCCTCCGCTTATAACATCTATATAAATTTTAGACTGGTTGACAGTTTCATGAGACAGGCGTGGTTATTCCTGCAGATGATCCGAGTGTACGAAATAGGGCAATCGACTGTATGACTACTTAATAAATATAGACGCAGGACTGCAGGGTCCCCTGGTTATTTTTGAGAAGTGAAAATGACATGTTGAGCAAGAGGAGGAGTAAGGTATATGAGAATGGAAAAAATAAAGAAAAACACGACAACAAGAGGACAGTGTAGAAGAAGAGGAGGAACAATAACTCATGGGGACAATTAGCTAAACAAGTCAAGGGAGGAGGGGGACAGAGAAGACTGGGAAGGGTGAGGGGCTGACAAGAAAACTGAGAGAAGCACATTCCTTCTTTCTCTCTTGTTTCCTTCAAAACAGCAGCTGGGACAGGTGTGCTTTTACTGATGTTAGGAAGTGCACAGGCTGCTGACTGCCTCCCAGTGTGTGTGTGTGTGTGTGTGTGTTTTATGCTGAGTAGGCACACTGCTTGACTGCAAACTGCATGTTAGCAGAGATTTTGCAGTGAGCAGTTATGGAAGAAACAAAACCCATAGATCAAAATTCGCCCATAATGACCAAAATAGACATGAATTGTGTTTGTGAAGGGGAGACTGCGGCTGAGAGGAGCGGTTTCTCTTACTCAGACACTGTGCAAGAAACAACACACTGTACATACAACGTGTGTAAACAATAGTTGCAAAAGTACAAGAGCCTGCTTGTGTGTGTTGTTTGACAGTCTCTACTTCAGGAAACAGAGGGATCCTGTTTGTGAGTTGTACTCATTGTTCAGCTGATTACCCCCCCTCTTAGCCCTACGACACCACACACACTCATATACAAAACACAGGCCTCATGTTACTATTTGGCTGTCGACCAAAGACGCTGTGATTTCTGGCCTAACACTTAACACGTTGTCTCTTTACAATAGAGCCATAGGTTCTGATGAGGGCCGTGTCCAGCCAGTCTATCTGACTCCATGCATTGTCTCTCCAACCTTGTCTGTCTCTTTTTTTTTTACTAGAAGAATGGACAACACCCAGTACTCCCTTGTCATCTGCTGGACCCATCATGTAGTCATTTCTCTTAGAAGTGAGCTCTTATAGAACACACACACGTTCCTCATAAATGTCTCTTCAGAAAGCTGCCATGCTATCACTAACTATATCTGGGATGTTTCACACCTGGCTTACATTTCTAATCCAGCATGGTCCTGATGACCTTGACCTATTTGTGCTTTACACATTTTTAAATTTTTAATACTTTTGACTAACTAGTCTTTTGTCATGATATACAGGAACTGACCCATAGAATTGTTTTATTAATTTGGCTTTTTTCTAATTTATATACTCAAAACCTCTGCTTTCTAGTCTTACTCTAGATGCTTAGCCACACTGTTGTCATGGCTTTAGAGATGGTAATGATTGCAAGGCTGTCGGTCAGTACACTGCTTTTGTCCCAGACAAATATCACAGGAACTATTGGGTGGATCGCCATGAGATTTTAGACTTTCACTGTACCCAGATGATGAAGCCTACTCACTCTGGTGATCCCCTGAAGTTTCCTCTGGTGCCACAATGAGGTTGACATTTTAGGTTTTTAGTGACATGTCTCAAAACTAGTAGATGAATTGCCATGAAAGACACACCAAGTGACACACCCATTATCCTTGTCTTTGTGTAAGTAATTGTGTCTTCGTGTTGTCATTTTTGATGTCTTTGTGGTCAGTTTGTGTCTCTTTCAGTGACATTTTCCAGATGACGCCGGTGCTCAGTAGGCCTGTGCTCAGAGGATGAAGCCTAATGAACTTGGTGATCCTCTGTTTTAAGTCTCAGTGAAATATCTCAACTTTATCTGTTAGAATGGCAACACATTTTGAACCGATGCAACCCAGGGGATGAATCCTACTGACTTTGGTGAGTTGCTGACTTTCCCTGTTACAGTACTTTTCGTGATCTGGGAATGTTCATCTAATTTGTTATAAAACCTGAAAATGTTATTATGCATAAACATGTTAAGATGGTAAATATTATACATGCTAACCAGCATATGGTGCTGCTCTAAGCAGCCTACAGCGTAACCAGTTAGCGGCTAGCATGGCTGCAGAACCTTAGTCTTGTTTTGTCTTTTCTCCTACATAACACTCAAATTCTAGCACAATACTGTGTCTGTTGTGTCTGTGTTCTCTGTGAAGGGCAGGCTCTTTGAGCTCAGGAAGAGAGGCCAATGCAACACACACAGATGAGAACCTCTGGTGTGGCCTTTCCCACCACTGCTCTCTCTGTATCAACATACTCAGACAAACAAGTTCATTCACACTGCTGCACCATCAAACAGGCTTTTGTCTCTCTTATACAACCCCCCATCCCAAACACACATACAGTTATCTCTACACATCTGCATGTAAGCTCATTACTGCATCTAAATCAAAACCTCCAGCACATTCTTCCTGTGAACTAAGTGCTCCTTTATTTGCCAAGATAAAAAAAGATGTTTAAAGTTAATCATAATCAATTTAAAAACCAAGCAGCAAATAAAAGTCACAGATGGTCATATGGGTAAAATGGATTCAATATATTTACACGGTACTTTTATAGATGTTACATCTTTTAGAAGTGAGTACATAGGCACTGAAATACAGCTGTTTAATTTGCATAATAGACAGTAGGTCCCACAGATAACATAATAACGAGTAAACAAGCACTCAACTTCCTATGGCAAATTGTCACTAGAAAAATAAGCATCAGTTTCATTAAAAAATCTGATGGAAGTAACTATGTGCTTTATTTAATCTTACAAGGATTTATAAAAATAGAATTAACAATATATGTAGACAATAGCCGATCTTGGACAAAAGCCCAAAATACACACCCTGAACCAAAATGAGTCAGACACCAAATATATAGAAAATGTTTCTGAACAATTACGACTTACTGCCACTGATAAGACTCAATATTCTGTTTACATGAGGAAGAGTACCAACTCTAAAGAGTTATGAAATCATTGTATTACCAGACCATAAATATGAAACTATATACATAATATGCATGAGTACCAGAGAACAGAGAAACTATACAGATGGGTGACAAATTACAAGAAAACCCAACATAAAGTGTCTCAGTAAGGTGCTGTTCCACCAGAACAGCCTCAGTGCACCTTGGCATTGATTCAAGTCCCTGAACTCCAGTAGAGCAATGAACACCATTCTTCCAAAAAATATTCCCTCATTTGTTGTTTTGATGATGGTGGTGGAGACGCTGTCTAACACATCAGTCCAAATCTCTTTGCTGTGAAGGCCACAGCAAATGATTTGCATACGTTTTGTACTCATCAAACCCATTGACATATATACAATGAACATGGTGTCACCACTTCCCTCTACTATGCAAATGTGAAGCCAAAATATCACGAATATGGTGGCTGCCATGTTGCTTTTTTTAGAAGATTCTGCACAGTAGATACCAGAAATGGAGTGACAGCATCAAACCTCCAATCAAAGCTGTCAAGTCAACTGAAATACACCCCTTTTATATAATCAAATAAAATTATTAAGAGCAATCTTACCAGAAAAATGACCACTTGTACACACATCTGCATGACAAGACCCACCAAAAACGACAGCTAAAACCTCTAAGGAAAATGTATTTGATTTGTACTTTGAGTTTATAAAATTGGCTCATGTGCCATCCACTAACATGGAGGAGGCGGGATTTATGTCCAATACTGCATCCAACCACCAGGGAGTGATCAAGTTCACTTCACTTCTTGGAGCGCTTAGTTTGTCCATCATTTTTACAGTCAGTGATCAAACATTCAGTGACTGTTCATGCCTAATGACACTGTCATCTGGGAACAGACCACTCATTTATTCAGGTTTTTCCTTTAATTTGTAACCCATCTGGATGTAACAGTAAAACAGCAGCCCACATATTACAATCCCAAAAAAACTTTGGCTAGTTTGAGGCGAGGCCCTTTCAATCCAGTTCACTGGATTGTGAATTGTAGCAAGTTTCCTGACATGTTGGTAGATCAGTAAATGCCATTGATATTCAATGGCACACATGATCTAACAGAAGGCAATCGAAGGATGCAAAGAGGAAAACACAGGTCCCTAGTTTAACAAATAGCGGTAGGAAAAAACTGTTTTAAAGACATAACTTGGTGTCTTAACTGAGAAAACTAAGTCAACAAACTTAAGACATTATCTCTGCTTTATAGAGCAAGTGGTGTCATAGTTTGTCACATAACTGTTTTCCTCTATTAAAAAAAATATAAGTGATGGGAGAATTTGAAATTTGCAGTCTAAATCTGTCATCTCTTTCTTTTGCCCTCATATCCTCATATGTGCATAGACTTATAAGAAGGCAGGCTTTGATTGACAGCCCTGAATTTCCAAAACACATAAAAACGAATGATGCTGGTAAAGATTCCAGGCATGTTTGGAACCTGGAATGAACACAAACAGGGAGAAAAATGCACATCATGGATAGTAACTACCACAAAAATGAAGAAACAATGTAGAAAGATGTATTTACAGGTGTGATTCAGGTGCACATACAGGTGCTTACCATAACATAGTAGTCGCTCAGCTGGTGGCCGTAGAGGACCCAGGAGGTTGAACAGAAGAAGGTGGCTACAGTCAGGGGGAAGGACAAGCACTGCACATTACCACTACGCACTATCCCCACCTGCAAAGAGAGCACGTTTCTTAGTGACAACATAAACTATGGATGCCAGGTTGCAATAAACTGTACAAAATGCATCTTCCGATCGATCTGAAGCTAGCATTAGCTGACTAATGAGTAAACTTGGTAATCCAGTAGAAGGCTCTGGTTACTGCTAATGTGACACAAGGCACTGCTGTTAAAGCTCAAATTGCTCCCAAAATACACTCAAATTAATTGACTAATCAACAAAAATTATTACCATGATAGGTCCCTAATATTACTACATTGCTAATGCATCCAGAAGTAAGGACAATACATCTGAATCAAATACAGGTGTTAGACTTGCTTTTAACACTCTCCATCTCAAAAAGCCAAACTGATGTTAACCCTGGATTTTCCTCTTTCTTTGTCCCACTCTTTTCTGTGTAAAACAGCGTGGCCTCTTTGGTCTGGCAGCCACAGTTTCACACTTTTAGCTACCAAGAGGTCCTCCATGACTGGCTGCTTGAAATGACTACTCAGAGTTTGAAAAACACTTCTTATAACCTTTGCTAGTTGGCAGGTGGGGCTAATTTACAGACCTGATTTAGTCTTTATGGCTCCATCTCATTTCCTCTCGGCAGTGTTGCTACATGCTCAGATCTCAGTAATGAAACCACCCAATATATTTTTATTGTTACCAGTAGCCATGATGGCTACAATTGTTTTATAAACCTGACATTTCCCTTTCAAAAAAAGAGAAGAACATCTAGAATGTGCTCCAGTGTTAAGGAAAGTGTTGTTATAAGGATAGTTTTAGGTTCTGTCACTCTGCGTTGTGCCACCATCTTATTGTGTGAACTGTAATGAGAAAAGCGAATGTAACCAAGAGGATAAGGCACAAACAGACAGAGACTGAGAATAACAGGAAGACACAGATGAGGGAAAGAAAGGCAGGAAACTGACTGGAGGTCATTCAGACCTGTGAGGCAGATGGAAGGAGGGAGACAAACAGGATAGAAGAGGGAACCACAAGATGACTCAAAAAGACAAAAAGAAAGAGCGAGAACAAGGGATTTATTCCTTCACTGGTAAATAGTGGCATGTGCAAAGTTGAAGCGTAGGAGATACAAAAATACTGAACTTAGCAGATGCTGCCTGTGGTCTGCATAGAGGTTCAATGAACTATCTGGTCAGAAAAAAAGACTAAAAATGTGCTGTTTACAGGTGACTTTTACGAGGTTTACTGTATATGAACTGTGACATGTGTAGACATCGATTTTAACAACCCAGTAACAATAACAATAACCCCTGCCTCCGAAAAATGTCTTTTACAGACTGTACAAATGGTCAGTAATTTTAAATGGTAAAATTAACTTGTCATTTATATATATTATTAAAAGTAAGTAGTTCCCTATTTTATCTTTTGTTTAACATATAGAATGCGTAAAAGTCTGTCCTAAAACCCGAAAATGAGTTAGCATAACGTTTCGACTCTCACCTATGGTCATGAGCTTTGGATCATGACCAAAGGGGCAAGATCCTGGATACAGGCGGCCGAAATGAGCTTTCTCCGCAGGGCTGCCGGGCACACCCTTAGAGATAGGGTGAGGAGCTCGGTCACCCAGGAGGAGCTCAGAGTAGAACCGCTGCTCCTCCACATCGAGAGGAGCCAGCTGAGGTGGCTCGGGCATCTGTTTCGGATGCCTCCTGGGCGCCTTCCTAGGGAGGTGTTCTGGGCATGTCCCACAGGGAGGAGGCCCCGGGGAAGACCCAGGACACGCTGGAGGGACTATGTCTCTCGATTGGCCTGGGAACGCCTCGGTATCCCCCCGGAGGAGCTGGAGGAAGTGTCTAGGGAGAGGGAAGTCTGGGCATCTCTGCTTAGACTGCTGCCCCCGTGACCCGGTTCCGGATAAGCGGAGGAAATGGATGAATGGATGGATGGAATTAGCATTTTTGCTCCCTTGCCCTAAAGTCAGTGGGTTTTTTGGCCATAATTTACCAGTGGCTAAGCTGAAGTATTTAAATTAAAGCAGCTAGTTTTATCCAACAAACAGCCCACAACCTCAAGGTTTGCAATCAATTGTTGTATATAAGAGAGAAATGCACCAAAAGCACCTGCCAAACATTTTTGCTTGATCAGTTTCACTAAAAGTGTTTCATTTATGAAGTGATAGTGTTGATGATTCCTTTTCTGTCAACTAATCAGTTATTATGTTATCATTACATGCATATTAGTAGATATTCTTAGATAATGACACTAACATATTCTTTATGATTACCATGCTAGTTTTGTTCAAATTTTCCAGATTGCAGCACATTTCACCTTGTTTATCTATTAGTCAAGTGAGAGGACAGAACTACATATGACTTTGTATATGCTGCCTGTTGTGTTTGTCTGTATTTCATATGAGCGGTACCAGATCAGTGACCGGTGACAGGTACATGCTGACAGTGAACACGCTGCAGGTTAGGCCCAGCTGGCTGAGCTGAGCATCTCCCTTAGAAAGAATCATGGTGAAGTAGAACCAGGCACAGAGCAGCACCGTCCCTGCTGCAAGAGTCTCGGAAATCACCAGCCTCTGAAACAAACACACACATATTAGGTGTGCTGGACTTTCCACATCTTTATACACATGGTTTTAACCTCAGTAGGGTGTTTTCTGAGGATCTACACTTGAAGCCACACCAACCTTTTGTTTTGTGTAGCGGATGTACATGATAATGTAGAGGAACTGGAGGAGAGCTCCAATAATGTTGACAGAGAGAATCGTCTGATCTCCCTTCAGTATGCCGTAATACAACCAGCCGAGGTTACTATGGAACCCAGACAAGCATCAATGACCAGTGCAGGATAACAGTGACACTAAACTGATCATAGCGATTAAGCAAAAACACACTCACTTAAGACAGGTGGTGAGGAAAGGGAGAAACTGGATATTGTCAGCACTTTGGGACTCTAGCATCTTCTTCAGGTCGGTCCTACAAAGGCAAGCAAACACAAACACACACACAAGTAAAGCAGAGAGAGGAGACGGAAATAGACACATAAACACACTGATACTATAAAATAAAAAATTGTCAATCGCCATCTATCTGATAACATCCAGACAAGTAACTGCACACTTAAAAAATTCATGCTTTCTACCAACCTAATCGTGAAAATGAGTCAAACTTACAGTCCAGTCAAGAACATCCCGACCGTAAACACAATGCAGCACCATGACAGAAGCTCAAGGAAATCCATAGAACGAAAAAAAAAAGTCTGTCACGCTACCCAGTTTTATATTTTACGTACAATAGCTGATTTTTGTCACGACTGATTTAGTTGCATGTAAATGAACATTGCTCGCAGCATTTCCGCACTTGCAATCAATTCAAAGATTCTCCGCTCTGATTGGCTAAGCGACAAACTGGGAGGGCTGTATTTTCACCCAATAGGCTGCCAATACGATCTCGACTCGATTACCATCTGCGTATTACGTCATATTACGTTGAGAGAATGTGACTATTATGATATCGTTTGATTTAAGTGTGATAGATGGAGGGTATTAACTTCATTAAACTTAAAAAATATATATATTTGATTTGATTTGATTTGATTTATTCTTTCAAGCATGTAAACACAGGTGATATGTCAACACACATAATTTTACACATATCCAACAAATGCTAATCCAATATCAATTTGCTTATACCTAGTACATGCTTGAATGGAGTAGGAAGAAGTCAGACTTATCCAGTCCTACCCCATGAATATATGTACCTATTATATATGAAATCATCTACCTTTTTTGCTATTTCCTCATTGTAATATTTTGGTTTAGGGTGGTTTTCATTTGTATCAGGAACTTGACACTAGTAGCAACCATTTTTAACAATGTCTATTTTCACTTTACTTGAATTCCACCAACATGGTGTTAAAAGAAAATAGCATGAATGACGTGTACTTGACATTTACTATACAGGTATATGCATGTAAAACAAGCTGAACACACCTTTCTCCACTAGCTAATGTAGTGTAGTCTGTGAGTTCAACCTTCTTTGCATATTGCTGTATGATATCATGTTGAACTTAGACATAATCGTGGCCTACAGTACCATGAATACCATCATATTTGGTCTGTTCCACCAGACAACGTTGAAAGTTGTCCTGCATCACATTACTGTACAGACTGATGAGTGCAACACTGCAAGATGACTGAGAAGACTGAGATTTCGGAGATTTTGTATTTATCTGCAGAGGATTTAAACTATGACGTAAAACCAAACAACTAATTTTTATGTGGTGGTTTTGAATGGATGTGTTGCATGGTTTTACAGGGGCTGATGACTTTTAACAGTTTTCAGTGACTGCTGGGGGTTTGCAGGTATGAACATTTGTGCTGTGTGCTCCCCTTCATTCCAACATACCGCTGTGTAGGCCGATGCTCCGGTTTCCCTCCGAAGAGGATGCACAGCACTGTAAGTAAATGGGTAAGTGTGAGCAAGGAGGCAAGAGTGACACCTTTACACCCAGTTGTCAGTTTGCTTGTGGGCCTCTCTCACTTCACTATCATGCTCTCTTTCTCCTTCATCGTCCCCCTCTCGGTTCTCATGTCTGGTTTTCAGACTGTGAAATCTAAGCCAGGGCAAGCCATGTCACCAGGGATGAAAGATAAAGAGGGCAGAGAAGAGGGGATGAGAAAATAGAGGTTGGGAAAGACCTGGGGGTGGAAATGTGGAGAGGGCTCAAGAGATTTCATCATGTCATCCATCAAAAGCTTAATTTCCAGATCTAAAATAGGTTAGTGGAAAAAATGCATTTCACTGTATTTCTGATATAAGCCAGGCAGAAACATTTCTTACATCACATTTTTTTTTATTTCACTAAAGAGCTTTTACATCTTAAAACAGTTTTATAATTTTTTATATGTACATATTTACATGTAACAATTTACAAAATTACACAAGTATGTTTAATAAGAAAAACAACTGTAAATGTATTGTGGAAAGTCCCTTCAGTTTGAGGTTAGACAGTGTGCAAGTGGGATCACACCTGCAAATACCAGTCAGTGTACCACGATACTGTCAACACAGTGGGAATGAGTGAATAATCATAAGTACTGAATAATCTCAGCTCCCTAAAATACCTGTTAGTTTTAGATTTGATTTGTTTTTGGCTCTCAACCTTACACCACAAACTCTCAAGAAACATGCATTACATTGTTAAGGACTTAAGGATTTATCGTTTGTGCCTTTTTTCTTAGGAAAAAACTGCATCAAATGGGAAAAAACTATGTGCATGCACCGGTAAGTATCACTTTATTAGACCATTAGCAAACAACAAGGTTGAGAAACATTAGTTTGGATTATCCTGTGTTTACTTGCGTTCTCTCATAAGTGAAAAATGTGTGACATCAGATGCTTTATGTATTTTCTACACTGCAGTACCTGATATACAGTTTCTGCCTTTCTCTGCTTGAACAGAGATGAAAGAGATATAAGAACAGGGAGCTGAGTGCTACACATCAACATGACAGAAATCCTACATAAAGTATACCATTTTGGCAGAAGCCGACAACTTTTTCACTACACACAATTGTTTGCACGTAGAGGAAGAAAAATGCCATTGACTCTTTGAGGACAGTAATGCACAATTATCTGCACAGTTGTACCAATGGTATGAAAAAGAGAAAACACACCATAATGAGGATAATTGTATTCCTCTTGTCTCTTTCAATCTGACTGATTCATTAAGAGTTTAATCACTTTGCTCCCATTTTTGATCATAATGGCTGACAAGTGTACAAGTTAAACGGTCATTAATGAGAAGTCAATCCTTGTGACAGTGTTAAAAAAAAACTTCTTTGAGGTCCTCTTCTTTGGAACGGTCCACGCTCCACATTCATGCACACAATCACATCAAACACACACACACACACACACATACTGACAGCACTGTCCATTCCCATATAAAAAATCAGTATAAAAAAATCTCAGTGTTCATAATCCCAGTGACCAGCACTGGGTTAGCATTGTCTTTGTTATGGCGTTCCAGTCAGTCTCAGTGTAGCATAAGGGCTAATAAGACTGGGATCATGGTAAAGAAGAGTGAAAGAGAGATCAGCTGTGCTCCTGAGCTGCCGATACTCCTCTGGATGTTTGGCTCCATCACAGCAGGGTCATCTAAGGAAAGAAAGGGGCAGTTGAGTCAGTTTCACATTTCAGGGATAGTAAACACACATAGCTCAGCTCGTCTTAGACGTGGACCTGTAGTGAATGTTTATCTGTCTGGTGCTTTGTAGGAGAAACCTCACCTGCTGGGAGCCGGTTAGAGGGATTGTGAACTCCTCCGGTGGCAGGAAACTTTACTCTTCCTCCATCCAGGCTTTTCCCTGTCTCCTCTGCATTGGATTTATCTGAGTTAGTCTTTCCAGATCCTTTATGTCCGACTACATCCACTTTGAGCCTGAGACAGTCCTGGCCGTGATGATGCATTGGCTTAGCTGGAGAAGGTCAGAAAGAGGGAAACGTTTAATATCAGAAACCTAATTAGAATCACAATAAGTTGATAAAAATGCCAGTGTTGCAGTATTATTGATACTTACAGATATAATAATAGCTCTCTCCCTGTTTGAACTCCTTGCCCAGGGTGAAGGGTGTGAAGCGCTGGAACTTCTCAGAGAATTTCTCTGGAGCGTGGGGGGCGAAGGGCCGTGAGCACTCCCAACGAAGCTGGTCGAAAGAGTGAGGTTTGCACACCTCGTAGTCCTCCCTCTCCACCATGTACAGCACATAGCGCTCAGCTGCGTGCAACGACACCTCGCCATGGGTGTAGTGGGGACAGATGATGTCCAGATAGTCGTTGATATGCACTTCCACTGTATATTCATCCCACAGGAAGCTGCAGAGACACAGGAAGAGAGAGGAGGTTACTTACAAATGTCTTCACCCAGCATAACTTATTTGTTTTATGAAAGAAAAACCTCTTACAAATGAATAACATGAATAACCAAAGCACATATCTGTTTGTACATGTGTTCAACACACACCTTGGCAGCCTGGCTCCGGGTTTATAATAATATATGTGTTAAGAATGGTAATGACAGCTAATCCTACACAGGTAAGACTAGTAGGGTGGAAGTCTGGCAACAGCTGAGGATGCTTGTGCTGATGTGTTTCAGTGTGCTTGTGCAAACCCATCACTGTCACAGAAATAATAAGAGCCTGATCAGGCTGGACTTGTTCACTGTTTTTGGGTGAGGAAACATGCCCAGAATCCTCTAAAGCCCTACTACCATTCCTCTCACACACCTTTATTTTGTTGTTCTTTCTTTTCGCCCTCAGCAGAAACACACTTCTCACCTGCTTACATACTGTTGATGAAACTTTAAATGACAGCTCAACATCCCCAACCGCTCTCTTAACCTTCCCTGCTAGTCCAGTTCTTCCCTCATTCTATCTGTACAGCTTTTTCTGTCAGTTCTTTTAAAACTGTTTTCCAATTTCTGTCTCATTAGTTTTTCACCTAGATGCTTGTCCACTGGTGATGCGGCTTGTGTTGTGATTCCTCACCCTAATTTGTATCACTGTCTCTGAATTGTGTCTCTGATTTAATCAAAGACAGAGACACAGTGGGTGGAGACAGTCAGACAATTGCTCTTTTCATCTTTACCCTTCATTTAGTTTTATGACTCTTTTTCAGACTTCTCGTCTCCCTTTTGTTCACTTCCTATGCAAATTGTTTTTTTCTTAACTCTTAATTCTGTTCAGTCCCACTACACATTTGTGGTGATGGTGTCAGGAGGATTCAGGAAGGTGTGTTACATTTTGACCTTAGCAGAACATTTACTTGCTGTTAATATATAGCTACTACTCAGTCAGGACTGGTTTTGTTGAGCAAATAAATGAACTCTAACCTGTTGTTTTCAATTTCACGTAACTAACACGCCTTTCCTTAACATGACGCAGGTGAGGCCGTGCTATGCTGGTATATGTGACGTTGGGCAGGAAGATGAAGAATGGTTGGTATTTACTCCAGTTACATCTTTAGCAATAAAAGAAAATCTGCAAATTCAGGGATATTTGTGTGTGTGAGCCTGGTGTCTGGAGTGAAAGTGACAAGGGATGCAGCTCTGACCCCCTCCTGTTGTTGTGGCTCCTATTAGGACCCCCTGGTCAAGTCACAGACACAATGGCTCCAAACGTGGGCCTCTAACCCCTCCTTCCTGCCTCTGTGCGTGTACGAGTTAGTAACCTACCTGTCAAAACATGCTTTGTTTGGCGAACGCAGCTCGACACTTGTTAAACAGGGCTGATCACCACCCTTCGCTTACAATCATGGCTCTCTCTGAAAATAAGTTCTTGATAAGTGTGTACACGCCTGTGCAGGTGTGCACGCCTTTGTTTGTGTGTGTGTGTGTTTGCCAGGGCGTGTGTTTCAATGAAAGGGAAAAGGGGCACATCTGTAGCAGCCTAATTGGCCAGTTAATCTCTGTTGTAATCTTGTTTCTCTCTGCTCTTTCTTCTTTGAATCAAAGCAGTAATAACAGAGCTGGAGAAAACAAGCTACTTGAAGATCTCTAGTGGTTCAGTCTGAAGTGAGGAATAGTTTTAAATTGTATAGGATAAACATTTTTCCCACACTGTGTCCTTGTTAGCGGCCTGGCTGACCTCCATATGAAAACACAGGCTTGTCAAAAGCCAACATAACAGATAGATTCTGTTGCTAATTTCATTCATGGTTGGTGCTTTTAAGAAAACTCCCCTTTTATCCTTCTCTTCACCTCCTCGTTTCCCCCTCCTCTCCTCCATTGGTCTAGCTAATTAAAAGCTGTTAGGGGTCTGGGACCAATGTGTTCTCTAGAAAAGGAGGGGAGGTGGAATGAATGGGGTGTAATTATACCCTTTCTCTCCCCAAAGACAGAATGCCTGAAGGCTACAGGGCCCCTTCAACCCCTGTACCCCCTGTGGAGCTTTCACTACCCTGGCTGCTGTCGACATGTGTAATATGTGTGCTCCTATGACCGCGAGCGTATTTTCAGTGGTTTCACAGTTGTATTTGAGATGTCCAGATCTGTTTATGCTTGTCTTTGTGCTATTACAGTTCCACCATGTCTTTAACTTCTCCTCTTCCTCTGTCCTCCTCACGCTCTCTCATCTCAATTGCTGGAGTCTCTTGCATTATTCTTCACTTCTGACTGACAGTTCTCAGGACAGTGAGAGTCACATTAACATGATAGCTATGCTGTATGTGAGGCTGAGAGCCAGGTGTGTCAGCTGTTACAAACCCACTTTCTACACAACTGCTTTCTGTCATGTGTCGCTTTGTCTGCGTGTGCATGTTTTCATGACAGAGGGATTCCCTGAAGATCCTTATGCAGGGCGTCTCATGCCCAAGGCTGATGAGCACATCTGTTTATCAAGGCCTACTAGAGCCTCTTGTATGCATGAGTGGGTTTTCTTGCATGTGACAGAGGTGTGGGTAAACAGCAGGGGTTGAAGGTAGCTGTACTCTTTCTTCCCCTGTGCTGAAAACAGGTCATTTCACACTATGGAGCTACTTTAGCTTTTGCGTCAGAGGGCAAGGCTTGTGTGTATGTGTGTTGTAAGGGTATAATAAATAATACAACACAGTGTTGGTGGTTATGACAGTAGGTGAGATGTTCAACACTTGGTCTTTATATGAGCTTTGAAGTCATTGTGTACTCATTTCTTTTTGTTGTCTGCCATCCCTTTTTCATTTTTCCCCTCCCTGACAGCCTTGCCGTCCCTCCATTTGTCCCCTAAGCTCACACTGCTTTCGGTCAAACAACTGACACAGGAACTTTCACCGTCTCTCTGGGGAATGTTTCAAAGTGACAGCCGGGTCAAGGGGTTAGAGTTCAGGGTTGCAGCTTTTCGCACACACTGCCATCTGAGTCAGCACTGAAGATTTTTATTTCACACACACACAACACACTCATGGAGCCGGTCAGCGCCAGTGAAACACTAAACAGATGCACCCCCCTCCAACCATTTCACCATTTGCTCCACAGGTAATGAGTAGCAAGTGTGCACACACTGGAATGTCACTACAGGGGGGGCTGCGGTTTGGATGATTTACTGTGTTCTCACAAAGCGCACTCATCAAATTTCCAGTCGCACTCTCACACACTTTTTCTTTAAGCTGTGCACTTAATGGCTAATACACTTAATAATTTGTGGTTGTATGACAGATTCACACCTCCTTTCACACAGGCTGAGGAGCTGTCAGGGGTTCTAATGGGTTTAGCTGCTCACTAGCTAGATGCTCCATTAAAGCCAATCTAATCTGCAGCAGAAAGTCTTTCTACATTAGCTTCCAGTGTAATATACCTTCATTCTTCCTCTATCTCACTGTCTTGCTATAACAAACCTAGTGGAAATTTTCCTTCCAGTAGGCGCCAGTAGAAACTGC